GAGCGAGGGAGCGAGGGAGCGAGGGAGCGAGGGAGCGAGGGAGCGAGAGTGAGTGAGTGAGTGAGTGAGTGAGTGACTTGCGGCTTGGCAGCCATGTCTCCACCCAGATCTGAGAATCAAATGTGGCATTCATTCATATCAAAAATATGGGTTATCAACCTCTGAGTTAATCAAAAATTGGTTAATTAAATATGGGTTACTGTAGCAACCCCTGAGTTATCAAATCATCGAGGCGGGAAACCCCAGCTGCCCGGGCCTTCCTTGCACTTCAAGGTGGCCTCCTTCATTTGGAAAGCTTCACAGGCAAAGCCTCAAACCAAAGAAGGGTCTGATAGAGTAGGTCTAAGCCCCAAACTGCTCTGGCCCAAACCGCAACCACGACCACTTCAGTCATAGTTTTGTCTTGGGGCGAACAGTCTGGGAACACTAATTAGTAGAATATAGCTGGATCATTTGGAATAGAACCTTTGACACTGCCTCTTCAAAGGATTCAGGATTGCATGCCGGTCACTACCAGTGTCTTTTTCCAAGCGCAACAAAAGCTAGATCCCCACCCCGCGCTTTTCGGTCGAGGAGCACAGGTCACAGAAGGGTGTTGCTTTTGACACCAGACGGCTTTGCATATGGTTCCTGTCAAACGGTGACTCACCGGCATACACAGGCTCACCAAACAAATTTGCTGATGCAAATGGTTACCAAGCCTAGTTTTTACGAGTAACTGTATTGTCTATATATATATATAACATAGGCATCAGTTTGTGCTGGCTGATTTTGTGCTGGCTGATTGCTTCATGAAAGCACCTTATCTGGGCAAAGTACGCAGATTCCAACCTGAGGATAGCTCAAACTGGTACCTATCCTCAAGATAGCCCAAACTGGTACCTATCCTCAAGATAGACAAACAAACGCAAAACACTACAGACACAATACATTTGCTCTCCCAAGAGATCACCAGCAGTTGACTGCTCTGAAACGAAATTGAGGAAGCCCATATTATATGTATTTATATATATAAGATTGTATAAAATTATACATAAGTGTGTTGTAATAGTGAGACCCCCAACCAATGGGTTTTGGTATATTGTCCTTCTTCCAGGAGTCCAGGAGGGTCCAATCAGAGTTCCCTGCAAACCCTTTACCTCCTCGAACTGCCTGTTAAAACAAGGTTTGAAACGTAGGACGAGTGGGCTAGAGTGTTCACCACTGGAAGCACTTCATCACCAGAGTGTTTCCGCCGAACGACCACCCCACAAGGTGGAAAGGATTGTAAAGGTACTAATGCCATAAGAATACCACATCCAATTCCAGCTATGCTGCCGCTGAGTAGCTGTACAAATTCGGAAAGTGTTGCATAAATTCCGTTGGTATCAAAGCCAGTGATTTCAATGAATGACCTGGGATCGCTCAGCAGGCGAGTCGGCAGTTTCTGTTGCATGTATTCTGTTCACGATGGCCGTGTGCATGCGTATCCTTATGCATGTCCGATGTATTGCCACGAATATGCTGAAATCACTCATCATCCGATGAGACCCCTCAAGGATGGGTAGTTTTCGGGAGGCAGCATGTGGAGGAATTTCAATTCTCTTCGAATGGAAGTAGAATGGTTGCAATATGGCAAGGGCAAGGCACTGTGGACTAACCACCAAAGCAGGGGTGTACGAGTCTTGCCAGTACTTCAAGACCATTGGCTTCTGCTGCGGTCACATGATCGGTGATAGGGTGTGTGGTGATTTTTGATGTGGTTCGGTGGAGTAGGTGGTCATTTATGATGAGTTTTGTGAATCCGCTGAAGCAAAATTGAGAGAGAGAGAGATCTTTTCAGTCATGGATCACAATCTACTCAAGGGCTTTTGGAATCTTAATTCAACGCATATGGAACATCGTTCCAGATGTGGTCGTCCACCTGTTGCACAAAGACGTGATCGCGGTTATCTTCTCATTATAATTCTGTTTGATAATCTTGAGAGAATATTGCACCTAAGGCATTAAATGGTTGATAGAATTATTCGCGCGCCATCGCGGAAGCAACGAAATGAGGAAACGAGGGAGACCAAGTGGAGGAGAATTGATTTCCACCAGGCCGTAAACTAGATCTCTGCGCAATGAACCTGCTGAGGTGGTTACCCCCATTGCAAGCGCTATGTCACATGCATTCACATGCTCTAACTGGTATGTTTGAGGTGGTTTCTTGGCGTTTGGTGTTCAGGTTGATGCTTCTTTCTGATCGGAACGAAGGAAGAGAATCCCTTGATTCTTCGGGCATCTGGGGCATCAGTTTAGAGAGAGAAGTGCACGAATCTAGTCACCAAAGAGTTAACATCTTAAAGACCAGGGTTAACTCTTTAAGACTTTACTCTTTAAACATCTTCTAGGTCCTAGGTTCTATGTGACATTCATCTGGCATTCACCTGGTGAAACGCCGCCAAGCTGCTCCAGAAAGGCTCGCCCCATCGCATCGCATCCCGGCAGCGTCCGAAACTCGACCAGCAGCAGCGGGCGCGCTGTCAGCGGTGTGGAACCGACGGTGCCATCACCCACGAACTTGATCTGGTTCTCGCGGACCAGGCCGTCACCGGACCTCTCGAAGGCCAGGATGTGAGAGTATCTCGGGGAGAGGATCCAAGTCGACACCCTCTGAGAAAGTGAGGACGGAGACAGTGTTATGTAGGTTTTGAGGGTCCAGTCGCACCGAACCTGAGAATGTATTCAGATCCCTAGGGTATGGTATGGCGAAGACTGGACCCCGTCTCACCCCTGCTCTCCTATGAAAGTACAAACTGGGCCGTTGCATCTGGGAAGCTGAAAGAAATGATGTTGCAACATTTCGCTCCATTTCAGGAAGATTGAAACGAACACACGGAAACCTGAAATTCACACATGTTCACCATGGATGAGCGGGTCATCCCTTCTAGATGATCAACCAACCCGCGGGTTTTTCACGTTCCGAACCCATTTCGGAGCCTCTGCTTTTGCTTCGGCAAATAGAGGCTTCCTCCGTTGCATGCAGCCAGCTCCCACCCTGGCCACTGGGGGTGTGCCCAGGTGTACAAGATCTGTTTCCATGTTTGCCGCTTTGGTGGCATGATGCTCTTCGCCCTACAACCACTACAACCCTCTCTGACCCTTTCAGCGATCAAAGCCAATAGTTGCTGGAGGTTCATGTCAGGAATGAACAGAGTCATTGACGCTCCCCAGCCACCCTGGCCTTGTGCGGACATGAAGGTTGCTAGCTCAATGGTGCGGCGGCCCAAGGTGTTCCGCAAGCCCTCCCGCAGGTAGAAGTTGGGAGGAGTCCTTTCACGCCAAAGATGGGAATTCTGACTGAGACCGTCGCCCTATGAAAAAGGGGGAACTTGCGGTCACTGCGAGTGCTTTTCAATTCGTCATATTCATCTTCTAGGTCTTCAATCAACACGATCCACTGAGAGACCAAATGGCCCTGTGAATCTTCAAGACTCAACAAGCCACCCCCGGTGATTTTGTCGCCGTCTCCAGCCATTTTTGGTTGGCCAGGTGGTGCAGGATTGCGGGTTGGGAGGTGACGTCCGGCAGCTGCCATACAAAGGATTTGACATATGGATGTGGGTTCTTCTGAGGATACCTTCATTGACCTGGCATCAAAAAGAAAACAATAACGGCTATAACCCACGGCAACCCCATCATATATGATACCCTCCTCATGGAGGACAACTCCATCGTCGGACGCAGTCCCGTCCGCCCAGAAGAGTCCGACTGGAGTGGACTGCGAGTCCACATGCGATGATAGTCGTGGTGGATGTCCCAGCTACACATCTTGACAAAGACCAGAGACCAGACCGGAGGCTATCCGGACATATGATGGGAATATCATAGATTCGTGAAAATTGATTGTTTAGATCTACAGCTATTCACTGTACAAATTGAAGTGTCAACAGCTTGAGCGAACCAGATTCATCATGCATCACAAATAGATTTCCTGGTTCGCACGAATTCTGACTTCGCAGGCATACTGGTGGACAGTAGAAACCAGTATTTAAATCTGATGTAGGGTCGAAAAGGGACAAACTTCCCCAGGCCACCAAACATATCCAATCCGAGAACTGCCCGGCCGGCCCTCACGCGAGAACTACCCGGCCTGTATTTTCGGTCACAGTACTTGGCACTGAAAGCTTCGAAGATATTGTTCCGGTACTCTGAGCAGTGCCACTGGTGGGTGATGAACCTGAGCAGTGCCATTGGTTCACCATCGGACCATGGGAACTGAATGGGGCGCCCGTGTAAACTGACTCTTGATGATATAATCGAACTAATTAGGTGTTAACATCCCAAGCTGGGAGGGTTTCTTTCCTCAAGAGTCGACATGAAAAGATGTGTTGGACCACTTGGACCTATACCTTGTATACTTGGGCATCAGCTCCCTCTCCTGGGCGGCCTCAAGAGCCGACAGAGTCGAACTCGATGGATCACGATGGAACAAGCCGAAAGAACATGATTGTCGCTTCCCCGTCACTTGGATGACCCAAAAGACATGCAGCTTGGTGTTGATTTGGGGATGGTGGAAGCTTTGACACCATGTTTGTTGCTTCCATCTGGAAAAAAGGGGAGAAAGGATGAGAAAAGCTTCCGAGTTTCACCTGGTCTTCTTGAACCTCACAGTTTGCGCTCCCGTGCAACCCGGCGCAACCCTGCACACGCATCCGATGTCCAGGAACTCATGCACTGCCTTCGCCACCGTCGACGACGCGTCCTCGAGGCCCGAAACCTCGATGTAGCCCACGTCACGCAATTCCACCAGCACATGGACACAATCCTAGCAGGGCGGATGTAGTAAGTCAGTGCATGGCCACCAGCATATCAAATTTACACCGTGCATGGCCACAGTGCATTCTTTGGATGGAATTCTGGAGTCAGCATCCCGCCATCCTGAGCCTATGTCAGGGCTACCTGTCTTAGACGCATTGAAGGATCCCAAACGTTCAGGACCCACCCAAAAAAGTGTCTTCGAATGTCTTGATATGCTTGAGAAAACATCTGCATTGTCACTTTCTGAACATTTACCCTGCTACTCAACTGAACATAGTTGTGCCTTGTGCTTGAAATCATCGTAGCGGATAGCAATCTGCTGCTCCTGGAGCTGCATGGGGCTCATTTACCGATCAAAAAACCGGGAGGCAAACTACCCAATGCATCAGACATTTTAGGATGTTCTAAAGTGGTGTACAAAAAAAATGCAAATAGTCATGCACTGTGGACTTTCAAATCGTTTTCCTGTCGCTTTCACCATGTTGGTGTGGCACTCTTACAAACATCCAACAATACGATTGGCATTTGTCAGGCGCCCCTCAAAAAGAATATCTATATAGCATCCTCACACTTGGTGCACAATCTGGCCTGGCCGGCCGTTCTTCACTTCAGCCTTCTCATGATCCTGGGGTCTTCCTCACGTGCCGAGGACACCAGCGAACCGCGACGTCGGCGCGGCGCAGCGACCGCGGCCGGCTCCCGCTGGTCGCCGAAGCGGCCGAAGTTGCTGGCATTGCAGGCGATCATCTTCCAGTGGCAGACCTGGAGGTCTACGATGTTTTCGAGTCCAAACATCTCAAGCAAAATGGGTCCATTCAACAAAGATCACATATTAAACCATATTCAATACACACACACACACTCTGACAATTGTATTCAGTTAACTCAGTTACCACGATGGGAAGGATGGCGAAGAACCGCAAGGTGGAAAAGTCAGCTGAAACAGTATGGTTGAACATGGTTTTCCAAACGCACTTTAAAATTAAAAATTGGAAAAAACGCAGGTACGTTTTCAGCACCACACCACCAGGCTCTTCGTTGGCCACTCCCTGATGGTGGGTGGAGTGGCCCCCTGCTTCTTTTTGTGCGCTTTGAACATGTTAAACAATTGACAAGCTGCGCGCTAATAGCGGTACCAGGAGCCCTTAGTAGCGAAACCGGGGGGCCTTAGTAGCGTCCTTTGTGACTCGAAACTCGGTGGTCCCTTCGGAACAGGGGGTGACACACACAAATTGCCGTAGTCGGCGCCGTTTTCTTTGCAAAAAAACGGTCAGAGGCCCCTATAGTAGTACCGTCTTTGCTCCTAGTAGCGATCTGCTGGCAACAACTTTGTACACATAACGCCAATATTGGCGTTCCGGAAAACTACTAGTCACCTAAAAAGCCTTAGAAAGACAGACAAAGAGAACAAAACAAGAGCAGACTAAGAGGGCAAGAAGGAAAGATAGGTATAGTGACGAGGCCAACTTAGTTAAATGAAAGTAGTTCGCGAGCGGGACTCTGGTCTTAGACCGCTCGGGTAGCTAGCAATAGATAGGAGAAACAGAAGGAAAGGCACCAACACACAAGTGTGTTGAGTGCGATTTCCTTCTGTTGCTCGATTAGCGGGTGGGATAGCAACAGAGGCCCAGGGGCAGGGAGGGGGGTGCACTGATTAATTTGTCCGGCCTGTGAATACTTAGCAGCATGACATGGACATGTGAATACTTAGCAGCAACACGAAGATCATGCCGAAAGAATGCAATCACTGTAGACTGAAGGAGTACCGTGGTGAGGCCCGGCGGCCATTGATTCGGTGGATGTGTAAGTGACTTCCAGTGGGATTCCGGTGAAAGGTGGCTGAAACCGTTAGTGCTTTAGAACCCTTTGTCCAGGGGTGGACACACATAGACAGGTCGCCGGCTTTGGTGCTTTCAAATTCCGTTTTTAGGCCCGGCGGCCAATGCATCAGTTGATTCTATGGATGTGTCAATGACTTCCAGTGGAAACCCGGTGAAAAGTGGCAAGTTGGGGTGGATGATTTCCTATGCAAAAAACGGCGCCCCAGTGACGGGGATCACACTCAGCACCCGAGTGGGACGGCTGAGCGAAACACACTCTGACAATTGTATTCAGTTAACTCAATTACCACGATGGGAAGGATGGCGAAGAACCGCAAGGTGGAAAAGTCAGCTGAAACAGTATGGTTGAACATGGTTTTCCAAACGCACTTAAAAATTAAAAATTGGAAAAAACGCAGGTACGTTTTCAGCACCACACCACCAGGCTCTTCGTTGGCCACTCCCTGGTGGTGGGTGGAGTGGCCCCCTGCTTCTTTTTGTGCGCTTTGAACATGTTAAACAATTGACAAGCTGCGCGCTAATAGCGATACCAGGAGCCCTTAGTAGCGAAACCGGGGGGCCTTAGTAGCGTCCTTTGTGACTCGAAACTCGGTGGTCCCTTCGGAACAGGGGGTGACACACACACACACAATCCGAATATCAAACAAGCCGAAGCTGTTGGACCACCGGCCCTTTTTCCCCCCCACCACGCGAGTCCAATGTCAGACCTTGTTCAGAAAGTCCACCAGCTTCGTGGCACAAAGGCCCATGTTGTTTTCCTCGGAGTGCGCGAGGAATCGGACTTTCTTCGACGGAGTCCGTCCGGAGGCGAAGCACACGGACATGTCAGACGATCAGGTCTTGTGTGTGTGTGAGTGGAGACTCTCTTGGAAACAGATCGAACATGTTTTACCAAATGCCCAGGTGCCCAGAATGACAAGAATCACATACTATACCTACAGTATATGATGCTTCTCGATGTTTACCTACTGCCCACGGCTTCGAGGACCTTTGGCCCGTTTTGCCTTTGACCAACACCCTTGGCCTGGACCCATTCTCTGGCTCATGATTCAGCTGCTTGGGGGTCAAGATCCTCCAAGAAACATTCAACACAAGCTTTAGGAAGGTCCTGAGGTGTACAGAAAGCGGTGGCATCCAAGAAGGACCCCCAGAACTCGAAGTACATCGGCCCTACAATGACCCCAAACCAAACGGCCCTCCCATGCCCTACTGTTTTATAGCCATAGCATGCCATAACCTATATGTGTGCGCGCATACACGACCACTGCATGTGGGTCCTGGGTATAATATATGTTTTAAATTCACCTGCCCGGAAGAATCCCAATAGACCACCCATTGGCCCACAAACACCCAGTGGGCACCTGTGGGGTTCTCCCCTGCTTAGACGGCGACGAGGGTCGCCTTCTGAGCCTCGTTTTCGGAAGGCGGTGCACTTGAACTTTCCTCGGGAGAAGACCGAAGACTCTTCGACCGACGAACGAAGAACGCAGAAAGCATGCGGTCAATTCGTCTGGTTTCGTCGGTTGCATGCGGACTCCCCGGAGGTCGCGGTCACGTTCACGCGACAACGGTGAAACGGATGGTGAAAGCCCTCTCTGAACGTAGCATGGTTGGTAAGCCAGACAGGGCCCTGTCTGTCTGGCCACCTTTGAACCCTTTTCGACGTATCGGGTGAGCCACCAGGAGGGGCAGCCTCCGTTCGCTCGCTGCGGCGCGGATGAGTGAGGGCATGTCCTTTCCTGCCCATTCGATCGGAATCATGACGTTCACCAGCTAGCAGGTAATTACTGGACCAGTGTTCTCCAGTAATCAGGGGGGTCACCCAGCCACCAAAGGAGCCCATGACCATCCCTGATACTTCGACCATGAACAACTATTGATGTTCACTTCTTCGCTAACTTCTGCCGAACATGAGTGCCTTCTGCGTCGCGCTCGTCGCTCATGCCACATCTACGGCGAAGCGGCACAGGGGCGAACTTTGGAGGTTCCCACTTCCACTTCTGCGACCGTGGAGCGATCACAGAAGTGGGGATCCGCCGGGATGGACTTGGCATGCCAATGCTTTTCCTCGGCCACGGTCGACCGCACCGTCGACCGTCTTACTGGACTGCTTTCGAACGCAGTAGAACCACTCAGTGGTGTGGTCAGGCCTTTTGAGTTGATCCGGAGGTCCAAATCACATCCGCAAAGACATGGAAAAAAAGACACGTATCACATCTTCGCCCTGTTCAAATCACATTCATCCAAGAAAATTTCACGGAGGCAAACGGATTCAAAAGGATTCCAATTAATCTTCATTGACCCTGTTCAACTATACATCTTTTGCCAGCTAGTCAGGTCCTAAGCCCTCGAGACTCGTTCCGTTTCTCCGGTCAGTGAACTACCAATCCAAAATCCCCAACGAATCCCCGAATCATTGAGGTCGTTTTTTTTTGCGCCGACTCTTCTTGATGAGAAAAGATGAGAAAAGGAACAACTCCCGCATGCCTCAAAAACAAGCCACGATCTTTGCAAAGGAGACTTGCTTGCGACTCTTGTTTCCCCCCCGGCGGAGACTCGGCATCGCTTGGTTATCATTGCTGGGCGTGTGCGTGTCGCAAGGGAACCTTCGCATTCGAACGCCCGAAGGGCTTGAAAGGCACCAGAAAGCCATTCTTTAGAAAGAAGAGAGACCTTTAGATCAACTCCCATGACTCTCCGATCAACTCCCATGAGTCTCCGGTCAACTCCCATGAGTCTCCAGCTAGCATCCTCTGAGAATTGTGGGAATTGTGCTATGATCCATCCATATCATCCATCCTACAAGGGAAAGTTTATGCCACGGCACCAACCAATCCTGCAAATGTCCGTAGACGTTCTGGGTGTTGGGGCCGTAGATTTCCTGAAAGATGAAACTGAAGAATCACATGAACTCACGAAACCGTCAGAAAAACGTTTGCTGCTGATGGGCTATGATGTGTTTTAGGGCACCCAGGAGTAGAGACGAAGTTCCTAGATTCGTTCAAGGGAATTTTCTATAGTTCCCCCCTAAAAAACATTAAACACGTGCAACGCCAGTGATCTCTTGTGAAACTACAGTTACAGTTTTTTGCTGAAACATGTGAACGCATCTTTTAGTTTCTGTCAAAGGAAAAACAACCCGTATCAAGAGTCTTCAAATGGGTACGTATTGGATGTTCAATGTCAAACAACATCATGTCGAAGTTGTTGTCCTGACGTTTTCCCGGAAAACGGATGTTGGTTCCATCAAGCACATTTGAGTTGTAACCGGCTGCACCACGCACTGCAAGCACGCCAACGTTGCAATGCATGAAGGATCAACGCGACAACCCCACATGAGAAAACCGTGGAAACGGCGAAAATTCAACGCATCAAATTCATCAAATGTTCATCTCCGATCAGTTCCTCCAGATCCAATCAATCACCGATACAAACCCCAATCCGCGCTTCGGCGTTGCTCCGATCGCCGAGAGGCCACGTATCCACTTTGGCGAAGGTCGATGAGGAGGTAGGAGGCCACCAAGTTCAGCGGATGGGGAGCCGTGAACTTGATTTGCCTTGGAAACGGAGGATCGGAAGTTTTTCTTGCCCGTCCGCCGGGGCGGTGCAGTAGCTGGGGCGCACGAAAGTTCAGGTTTTTTGAAGCAGCTCGCGCTTAACCTACACGAAGCAAGTGATGTTTAATGAGTTGCTAGAAAGAACAACCCGCCAAAACGGTGAGCCCACAGTTCTTCAAGAGTTCAAAGGCTTATGAGTTCTTTCACTTTTCACTTGATTGAAAAACACCACTTCGAGCTTTCCACAACTTCTGTAAGCATGGTGCTTGGTCAGTGCCGACCGAAAAGTGTCAATAATTACAACAATCTCCCGTCTTGGGTTCAGAAATTTCGGCCATCTACCCAGAGCAAGATGAAAATGAACACATTGATGAAGGGCATGGATGCTCAACCACTCTTGAGCCATCTGGCTCTGGAGGCTTGCGTGCCAAGTAGTTATTGTGGATATGCCGCGCGTACAATCCTAGAATGCACACACAACACGACCGCATACGCTCTGAAACGCCTCATACTTAACATGCAACTTGAACCACCCGAAGACTGCAATCTAGCGAGTGATAGCCACATAGATTGAAAGCGGCATCCGTGCATGATCGTTGTCGAGTACTCACAAACTTGGCAAAAGACGGGCCCTTGGCAAAGTGATAAAGTAGCCACTTAGACTAGCTCAACTACAGGCTATGAACTTGCAAGGAAAAGTTTGGCGGATGCAAAAAGAAATGTCTGGAGATCTGAACAGGCAATGATACATGTCCGAAATGGGGCCTCGATTCAATCTACTGAGCCTCTATGAAGGCGATCTCCTTCTCCTTCAGCGCCACACACCTTACTCGTGCAAGTTCCAAGTTGAAGTAAACTCGCTGCGCCGGCTTGTCGTCCATGCCCAAAAACCAGAAGAGCGGAAGAAAGCGGAACTCCTGCGAAGGCACGGCAGAGCGCATGCCTGGTCACCCTGAAGTCAGCCACACTGTGCATGCTGATGAGGACAGTGCCCGGTTTCCCACTGCCCCTGTGCTGTTCGATTCACAGTCTTCACCGTGGCATCCTCAGACTTGCATGAAGAAAGCCGCCTTGCCTTAGAAGGTTTCACACGTTCAACTGTGGTGGGGCTTGCCTCCGGTAATGTCCATGAGAGCTGCCTGGTCAATCTCTAAGCAAGTCGAGAAGCAGGGCGTGTGGTAGATCGGCTTGCATCTTCCGAAGTAGCTGCAGCACGAGAATCAGCACCAGCGGCAACTTCCTGGCTGAACAAGTTGACGAGTGTTGGAGTTGGCAGATCATCCACTGACGTTCTTCTCTTCAAAGTCTCGTGGAAGTGTCTCACCACCCTTGCGGAAGTAGTCATAAATTGATCTCGAAGCAAGCACAAGGTAGCTGTTGAGCGGCTCTCTCATGAGGGGTAATTGAGCTTCGTTTGCTGGACACACATACAGAACCGGTTTGTGTGTTGATCACAATATGGGTTCTCTTCAAGATGGTCACGATGTGGCTTCAGACATATCTTTTGGACACCATGCGGTGTCTGGCCCATCATGTCTCCCTTGCCCTCTTGGCCATGACCGCCATGTCATCCTTGGGCTCTTGTTTGGGAATGAAGTCATTGCAGCAGTAGGTGCACAATTGACCCTGTGCCCATTTTGCTGCCCCCCACCGTTCCTTTGACATGCCCTCGATGTTGCCCACGTCGGTGAAGGCCTTCACTTTCTTGAAGGGCTGCTCCACCAAGCATCCATCATCGAAAGATGCCCGGCCGGCACATAGTACCACACTGTCCGCGAAAGAAGTCGAACTCGCTGGCTCGGCTGCAGGCTGGTGTGACCTCCTCTGACTTGTTGTTCTGCGTGGTCCAATACCTGGACACAGCATAGCGATGGTTCGGGCCAATGGGGTCTTCCCGTCTTCCCTTTGCCAGGTTCTCCATGGAAGCCGATTGCCTTTTCGACGACAGAAAGGCGCAAACAATCGAAGGAATCGATTCCCAAAAGGCAATGTCTCGTGGACAGCTGCAAGGACTCCATCTTTGCTCAGACCTCTCAATGCTTTATCAACCAGTGTTGTTGACCATTTGTAGATGGGGGGACGTAGGGCATGATGTCTGTATGGTAACTCAACGAAGTTGCTCGTTCCGCACATTGTCTCGAGGCCCATGTTCCTCAATGATGTCGAATCCAATTATCAATTCTTCTTCAGATTTGTCCATATCTTGTTTACTTCTCCTTTTGCATGGGACTGATACTGGCGACATTGAAACCCACCTAACTTCTTGAAGACGAAGTGGGGATATTTCTTCACAGTCTTGACCTGGCCGTGCCAATCAACCACGAACGGCTTTCCATAGAGCACGCTCCGCACCTCCTCCGGCCTCATCTTGGCCTTGAAGTGGATGGTTTTAACCATGGCTCTCTTCCCATCTTCCTGCTTCAAAACTGCCAAGTCACTGGTGGGATTGGGGGCAATCTTCCTCTTCAAACCGTAGGGAGACGGTAGATCCGTGTAATCCGCTGAGTGAGTGAGCGTCTCCTTCAAGACTCCTTCCGGTGTGGTGTGCGCAGTATCGAAAAGGATCTTGACCAAACACTTCACCACGGGTCCATCTCTCATATCAAAGACCTGGTACTGGTAGGTCACATGTTCCAAGGAGTGCTTCGCACTCCCCTACATATGGAATGAGTGACACCTCTCCACGGACAAGCTCCACGTCTGATGTTCGGCAAGAAAATAGACTGCTTGTTCCACAGCAGCTGATGCGTGCATATAGCATTAGAGTCAAGCACGGCTTCACGAGCACCATTTTGTTGTTTTTCACAGTCACTTCACATATCATTTTACCTATTGCTTTGTAAGCTGCGTCGCCTCACTTTGGCAATACACATGGAAGGTCACCCTCCTGGCTACCAGCAACTAGCTACATGGAAACATCAGACTCAGACTCTGTGATTCTGTATGAGTTCACATATTGGAGTTGACATAGCTAGCAAAGCTGCAGCAGTCTCACGTACTTCGTGACCTCGTGAAATCTACGAAGATGCGGACTGCTATGAAGACAACTTCATAGCACCAAACATATAGTGGATGAAAGATGAAAGTCAATGACATACAGTAAGAGAAGTCAACAGAAAGGATAGAAAAGCGGTGAGATAGCAGTAAAGCTAAATAGCTGAGAAGAGTGACAGTGTAGAGCGGCTAAAAAGCAGCAAGATATAGATCATGGGGGGGTGAGCACATATACATATACACACATCAACATGTATCAGGGATTATGGCAGTTTGGATCCATTTGGCTAAGTGTGCGATACATTCACTTCAAGTGCAGCGAGCAGTCTAGCGAGCAGTCTAGATACTTCTCAAGCAGGCCTGGTCCTGGCGGAGAAGACTGCTCGCTCCTATAGGCAGTGTTTGACCCGTCAATATCTTCAAGGACCGATCTCACCCGGGAGGACACCGCTCGGACGACTCGAGTCAAGCGCCAAAGCACATTTCTCGCATCTGACCATTTCCTCGCTGCGTCGGGTGTCGGAGCTGGGTCGAGGCCCGAAAAGAATTGACCCCGTTAAGAGAAGAAGGAGTGCGCGTATCACTGGTCACAACCCCACGACTGAACCTTCCCAGGTAGTAGAAGCTGTATTTATGTGCTGGCTCAGACAAAGTTACATGAAATGACACTGTCAGACAAAGCATCGCGCTGTTTTGTAAGTTGTGTTCCACCTTCCCTTGAGAGTCGCTTTAAACAAAATGCTCATCGACCTTGCGTTGCATGCCGTTAAAATAAAACTAGCTTTTGATAGATTTTCTGAAAGGTATTAACCAGCAATGTGTCTTAGCTTCAACCTTTAACAGGACAGAGAACCCGATGTAAGTTTTGTAAGGGGTAACATACAATATGTATATGTATATGCATCTTGAAAAGTGTTAAAGCTTTTTGGGAAAAAACTGCCAGAGACTCGCATTCTGATTCAGAATGGGAGTAAAAATGTCTGTTCTTGCCACACTTCCCATAACAGCGTATATAATATATACATATATATATATATACATTATATATACACACTATACTTCTGCTGCCTGCTTTAAAGTCACTGTGAAATGCGCTGCTCTGGCGCACAAAACAACTTGAGAATGTGCGCCATGGAAGCTCAACATCTCTAGTCCCCCCCAACTGACAAAGCAGTGCAGGTCCCGCGGAAAAAGATATTGGATTAGGCATGCTTTGCACTATGTGCATCACGTTGCATGAAAGTATTGGGTGTTGATTGGAGAGCCTATACACCTCTTATATAAGCGTCCAATTCACACTGAATGACAATTGGGCCTGTGGTGCAACAAACATATCGACACCTAAACCGATTGTGCCAACCCAACCCAGCCGCATCCTCTGATTGTAAGACAATCCAACCAACCGAGCATCCATCATGTCGATCGACCCTTCCTGTAACCCTTCCTGCATCTTTTCCAACTGTCAAGGCTCGACCCAAGGTGCATCCATCAATGAGTTTCAGTCCCCAGCCACAGGTCTTGGTCATGAAGTGCACCAAATCCATGGTGAGCCGGCCTGGAGACTTTGACAGTGTCGCTGGTGGTTGCTTCCTTCTCCTTCACCACGAGTCTCCCAACCAAAAAGGGAGGCCGGGGTAGTTGTTGAATCAGGAAGATGGAAATGGAAAACAAGAGCTGGTCACTTTCTGATGCAAGCTGGCCACTGTGGGAAACTAGCTGAATAGAAGAGAATTGGGCACGGTTCTGTTTCTCGGTGAGATGCTTAAACTTCAATGTATATATCTTGGAGTGCTGTAATTGTCCGACCAAAATACGTCAAACTCTTGTATGTACTACTGGTTTCCTGCAACCTCCTAAAAAGACAAAGCAACAAAGAAGGATCCGACAGACGACCGGTCCTTTCCCAGCACCTTAAACTTGAAGACAAAGTTTCTGTCCTACAAATCCTTTCGAGATGTCTCCCATCAAATACACCAGCAAATCACCGACATGACCAATCCTCAATAACACGATGAGACCGTCTTGGCTATGTACCTTTGCTATCCTGTTGGAGGATTTCTACGTCGACATTAAGACGTCGCGCGCCTAGATTGCTCTCTCCATTGCTGCCACGGCATTTCACAAAGCGCTGGGCCCCAAGGATGCTGCCAGTTATGCCCTCGGTGGGGCCGGCGGCAAAGCTCCTCGCAGGCTTCCGTAGCACGAAAGCGTGTAGGCTCACAGCTGTGATGTTTGGTTCATTCTGAGAATCGACGACGTGACCAGTTTGAGATGATACTGTAGCTGCACTTCTCTACTTCAGAGTGAGTGCTTCATGTGCTTCCTCGGACCGGATGGGCAAGGGAAAATCGTTGAACATCGGCTGCAAAAATGGTGAGCACTCCAGAGGCCCAGTGATTAATTGAGGGATGTCGAGGCCAAGCTCCACTTTCTTCAATCACGGCATGGAAAATTGCAAAAACCGGATCATATCTGGTTCAGGCGTGATCTCGCAGGGGTTGTTTTCGTAACAAAAGCTCTTTCTGAAACTGCAGCCTTTTCTCTCCCTCTCCTGTCACATAAACGGCCCCATGGTTGCACAGGCCGCACTTGCAGTCGAAGCTTCGCTGATTTCAGTGGGTTGCACCTCATGCGACTGAAGGACACTCCGTGTCCTACACAGTGGTGCCAAACACTCCGCCTGCCTGGGGGCTCTGTCTTGGAGCACATAGAAGTACCATGAAATACAACAGGTTGCAGAGTAGTGGTGACCAATGCAGTGAGGAGTCAAACCTTGACAGCCACCTCGGAGGGCTCTCTGATGGTGTGGCTCATCGACTGAGTCTAACAACTGTACCCCAGACCTGTGTCCAGCTGCAAACAATGTGGTTAACTAGGTCTCCAGGCGGCACATACACGTCCGGGCGCAGGTCGCTGGTGTGCTCCACCAAACCCCAAGTGGCCTTGAGCCAATCTCCCAGCCGCTCGAAAATGCCTCACGCGGTCAGTGATCTGACCACCGACCCAGAAAGGTGGCAGCTTCTGGGCAGTTGGATGTGAACGACGTGACCTGCGCCGTGGTGGTTTCTTTCTCATTCTCATTGTGTGATGTTTGCCTGCCCTAGTTAGCCTGCCCTAGTTAGGGCAGCTGACAAATACCCGCCCCAACCCTCCCTTCACAGAAAGAACAAGTGTGTGAATCTATTCATCTTTATAGATCCTCTAATCCATTCTAATCCTATGTATGGATGCGGTGTGGCTGGGTCAAGGTCAGAATTGCGTCGGTGGTTGCCCGTGAGGACCCCTTTCTCCTCGCGTCTCCCAACGTCAGGGTATTCAGCACATTCTCAGGGTATTCAGGGTGATCCTCGCGTTCCCTGAGGTCTTGCGGCAGCACATTCTCAGGGTATTCAGCAGATCG